GGCAACTGTAGGGATGAGGGGGGAGACTCGACCTCGACCTCTGCGCTGTACCAATGGCCAACAAATTCTGCTATTTCCATGCATCCGATTGAACATGCAGCTCCATTATGATGTTGGAGATGTGCCCCACTTGCCCCGCCTGGTCCCGCTTGCCCACTTAGGGCAAGTGGGGGTCAAGTGGGGCCCTCAATTCCTTGCGAGGGGGGCCAAGTGCCCCCCCAATTCTTCGAGCCTGCGCGTAAGAGGGGAAAGTGGGGCACATTTCAAGGAGCGGTGCCCGCCCACGTCTCGCACAAGTGCCCGACCCCCCCCCCCCCCTTGGAGCACCTGTGGGTGCCGTGCCGCGCAGGTGAACCCCCCAGCGGTGACGAGCAGGAGGAGGAGGAGGAGGAGGAGGAGGAGGAGGAGGAGTCGGAGGAGGAGGAGCGTTTTGCCCGAGGAATCCTCGCAAACTAATGATGTTGCTGACGCCGTTGGGTGCAAGTGGGGCAAGCGGGACCACGTAGGGCAAATGGGGCACATGTCAAGCAGCGGTGCCGGCCCTCGTCTCGCACAAGTGCCCGACCCCCCCCCTCCTCGAGCACCTATAGGGGTCGTGTCGCGCAGGTGCCCCCCACCCCCCAGCGGTGACGAGCAAGAGGAGGACGAGGAGGAGGAGGAGGAGCAGGAGGAGGAGGAAGAGGAATAGGAGGAATAGCGTTTCTCCTCAGGCATCCTCGCAAACTGGGGATGTTGCCGACGACTCGCTCTAAGAAGCAGAGCTTTCGCTGGAGAGATCCTCAGAAAATGAACTGTTGAGATCGGACGTTGGACATCCAACATGGCGCGGGGGAGCCTTTCGCTTGAGACGTCCTCCCACCCACAATGCAAGCCATAGCAACTTTGGCTCTAGCGCCCTGAAGGGTCAGGAGGCAGCGCTTGTACTGGCACCGAGGGCTGGTCGTGGCCTGCGACCAGGCTTCGGGCCCCGCCGAGCCTGGGCCGGCCAGGGCCTCCATCGCCGAAGCGCTGGGCTTCGCCGAGTCGATGGCCCCGCAATCGCCTCCAGCTGAGCACCCAGACCCCCTCGAGTAATGAGAAAGTCATGACGGGAGGTTTATCCCCAATTTCGCCATCTGGGGGCCCTTGCCGGGACTCGGGACCGTCAAAAAACTACCCGGGATGAAAAACCGGTCCCAGGAATGGGTCGAGACTTCTGGGGTCGACGTCATGAAAAAATCATGACGTTGGGGGTCGGGGCAGGAGCGCGAGGCAGAGAAGCACGAGGAGGAGAACATCGCCCCGTCTTCGCCGCGGGGGGCCGAGGGGCCGTTTTCGCCACCAGCGGAGCAAGACGATCCAGCGGAAGAGGCCTGGCTTATGGCGGAGATCGGGGAGTTCTGGGAGAACTCGATCGTGAAGACCGACGGGTTGCGCGCCGAGTTCGCGGGCATCTTGAACGGCACGGAGGGCGTAGTGCGCTGGTCTAGGCAACCGGAGTCCAAGGCAAGGTGGGACCGCGAAAGACTGCCGAGAATCCCCGTCCGCGTCGGGGACAACCTCTACGCGCTGAGCCGTTGCTTCCTGACATTGGCGCCACCGATGGGAGCGCAGGCAGCTGACCCCGGCATCCAGGGCTGGCGCGCTGTATCGGCGTGCACGTGGCAATCGGCCACGGGGCGTGGCCGCCCTGGCCGTGCCGCAGGCATTGGCGATTTCTGGGAGGGCACGGTGGTCAAGATCTTCGGCTTTCCAGGGTCAGCGGGGCTCAACGGCAAGGAGGGCGTCGTGCGCTGGTCTGAGCAGCCCTGCTCTGAAGCACCGGTGGGCGGCGATAGGGGTGCCGAAGACCTGCGTCCGCGTTAGGGAGAAGGTTTACGCGCTGGGACGTCATCACTTGACGGCGGTGCCAGGGGGGGCAGGCGACGCTGACGCTGAGCAGGCTATGGTGCCCGTCCTGACCCAGCCAGACCCCAGCGACCAGTCGCAGACCCAGCCAACCCCGATGCCGAGGACGCCTAGCGAAGGTCTCATCCCCGTGGCAGCGCACCCGCACTGGGGTTTCGGATTCTTCGACATTGCCCCAGTTGGCGCCGGCGCCGGACATGCAGGACCCCATGCCAAAGGTGTTGGAGCGGCTCAGCCAGATCGGGTCAGAGGAGGAGCTGATGCAGTACATCTACCCCGTAGACCTCTTCCACGGACCGTCGTTGCGAATGCGCGCGGGGGATCGTCGCGGGCCATTTTCCACAGGTGCTCAATCCCCTCCCCCCTGGAGCACCAATGGGGGAAATTTCGTTGAAGCCGCCAGTGGGTTCGATGGGCGCACCGGCTGGCGGCACTTCCCAACTTTTTCTGTGCCCTCACAGGATTCGAGAGCGCGGAGAACGTCTACGAGGCGGTGCATAAGGCTTTGGCAACGATTGTCGCGGATGCCAGGACCCACGTGGACATCGGCAGCGACGCGTCGTTCTCTCTGACGAAGCTGACCACGCTGCCGCATCGCAAGGCCATTGCGGCGGTGGCGACAGCCAACTCCCAGCCGCCAGAGGCAGTGTATCAAGGCCTCTGCGGCATGATCGGGTGAACGGAGCACCATGGCACGCGCCTCAGCGACACCAAGGAGGCCCACCACGTCAGGGCTGCCACGGTCGGTGCTTCCTTCGCGGGGCCGCCGTCCACTCGCGAACCGAGCTGGCACCGGTTCGTCGGCGAGTACCTGCTGAGCCACCCCGAGGTGCCGGAGTTGCGGCGGGAGGGGCGGGCGTGCGCGGGCGACGCCACGGTCAAAGGCCACAGGACTTTGGGGCGCGCTGAGGAAAAGGGCCTGAGGGTCAGCTTACCCTCAACATGGAGGGGCATCGGGGTAGGCCAAGGGCAGGCGTACTGGAAGGGCTCGGGCCTAAGTCTAGGGTAGGCTCACGGGAAGGGCTTCGGGGCAGGCTCGCAGTAAGCCTAGCGGGGAGGCCTAGGGGTCACTTTGCGGTCCTCGCGGGAATTTTTACACAGGTGCTCAATCCCCCCCTGGAAGCTCCTGTGGGGGAGATTCCGACTTGGCCCCCAATGGGTTCGAGGGAAACGCCGACGGGCGGCGTTTCCCAAATGTTTCTGCGAGAGGTGCGGGGCCAGAGTAGGCGCAAGGCCGAGGGCAAGCAGGGTGGGCGCAGGGAGGGCCCCCCCGTCCCCAATCGATTTCCGCCAGCAGGATGAGCATCGCGAACCACGGCCGCAGCGGGCTTTCCACCGCGGTTCGCAGCATATGCTACGAGACGCCACAGTCGGAGAATACCAAGGACATCACCTTCACCAGCCGCCCCAAGATGCTGCAGCTGGTGAACGGCGAGCGCGACACCAGCGCCTGGAAACCTTAGGAAACTTAGAGAAGCACAGTGTGGTGGCCCACGCTCTTCAGAATGTCTCGGACTCGAAAGGGATAGCAGTGTTTGGAGGAGGAGGGGGAGAAGGATCGGGAGCAGGCACAGCACCGCTCCCGAGACCACCGAAAACCGCCAAAAACGGCCCCAAAGGCCCCCAAGGCCCACACAGATGGCCACAACAGGACTCCTGAGAGGGCTGCAAACAACTTTTTCCCTAGGGCTGACCTGAACATCGTTCGCGAACATTTGTTTCCGCCCCGATTGCGAGCCAGTTGTTTTGAACATCTTTGTTTTTACTCAACCAAACGGCCGTGGACAAGGCCCTTGAGCGCCTTGGAGTTCGAGAACAGATGTAGTTTGCGAACATCCGAACACGAACATGATGTTTCAACTCCCGAACACTTTACAAGGCAACCCTAACTGTTTCCCCGCGAACCACGACATCTACTATTCCCCTAGTGACGCGCGCACCGCGGCAACTACAGACACATCGAGCACTGTGGAATTATCGGCCTTCGACAAGAGAGCCCTCACGGCAGACACTCGACAAGGAGGGCTCCACCCCACATCATTGACCCCCCTCAGAAGTGGTGGTGCTTTGAGCGTTTCGCCATTTCGGGCTTCCGGCACTCCAAGAAGGCCAAAGAGGCTCCCAATATCGCCCAAGAGCCCCGAAGCCACCCCAAGAGGGGCGGACGAGGGGGAAGTCGAACTGGCCTTGGGAGCATTTCAATAGAAGATTGCCCCAAAGACCCTCAGCATGCCATCAAGAGCCCCCAAGAAGCGCCCAGAAGGCCCCAAAAGGCCCCGCAGAGGCCCACACGCAAATGTAAAAGTTCCCGACAGTATCCTGGAGCACGCTCTGACCAGGGCTTGGAACAGGATCCAGCAACGGTAGCGATGGCCCCCCGACGTCGAAGGCGAACATCGACCGAACCCCCTGCAACTTTCGGATACCTCCCTCCTCCCACCTCGAAAACGGCGACGACGAAGCTGGCGACAACGACGATGGCGACGACGACGACGATGGCGACAGCAACGTCGACGACGACGACGACGTCGACGGCGGCGGCGGCGGCCGCGGCCGGCAGGGGAGCCGAGTGGGCGAAGCGAGGAGGGAGGACATGGGGAGAGCATGAAGGCGGGGGGGGGGGAACACGAGGGAGGAGGCGAGGCGGCGGCGGAGAGGGGGGGGCGGAACAGGCAACGCTCCGAGAAGAGGCCGAAGGCGATCGAACTACGGAGGAATTTGGGGAACTCCGCTCCGATCTGCAGGCTCGGCACCGCGCACCACGCGTGGCAGTGACGGAAGGCCCCCCTTTCGGGCGAGGGGGAAGGGAGGGACGGGAGGGACGGGAGGGGAGAGGAGGGGAGGCAGGGTAGGGAGGGGAGGGGAGGGGAGGGAGGGGGGGGGTGAGGGGATGGGGAAGGAGGGAGGAGGGAGGGAGGGAGGGGAGGGGGAGGGGGGGAGGGAGGAGGAAGGAAGGAAGGGAGGGGAGGGAATGGAGGGAGGGATCGAGCGACTGAGAGGGATGGAGGGGGGGAGAAAGGGGGGAATGGATGGGAGGGGGGGGGAGGGGAGAAGGGGGGGGGAGGGGGGGGCGGCGGCGACGGCGGCGACGACCTCGGCGAGCTCCGCGGCGCCTCGGCGCCGCCGCCCCCGCCGGAGGCTGGCGTGTGCGCCGCCTCGTCGCGCTCCCGCAGCAGCTCCTCTCTGCGGGCGGGCGGGGTGGCGCGGGGCCGCGGGCGGGGCGGCCCAGGGAGGGGGAGGGGGAAGGGAGGGAAAGGTCGAGGAGGAGGGGGGGGAGAGGAGGAGCGGGGAAGGCGGCGACGACGATCGAGTCTGATGCCACCAGCGGCGGCGGGAGGAGCGGGCAGGCAGAGGAAATGGACAGAACGAGGAGGAGGCGAGAGTGATGGAAGCGCACGGCCTGAGGCAGCACATCCAACCATGAATGCAATCGCCCGGATGTAAAAACACGCATTCGCCCTGCAGCGCTGGGGAATGGGGGGGGCGCGGGGCACTTACTTGGGCGGCGCTGGGAAGAGGGGGGGGCAGCGGGAGCAGAAATGAGCGACGGGAGCTGGCGAAGTAGGTGCGCTCCATCCATATATGCCATCCTACCTCTCCCGCCCATCCCTTACAATTGCGTTTTTCCCTCCCCCCAATCCGCGGATGGGCATCGCAGCGGGCCTGGAAGCATGGCGCTTTTTGAGTCAAGGTGGTTCCCAAGAGTGAAGAGCAAGGGTGCAAGGCTTGACCATGAGGTAATAAGCTGAGAACCCGACTCTGAGGACGACGTCGGCGACGCACCAAGGCATCCCACAACTCATCCCCTGATGGCAAGCGAGACGATAAGTACGAAAGGAGCCATGGGGATGCAAGATGGATCATAGAAAGACGTGGCTTTTCTCCGCTGCTACGATCCCAACTGAGGCGCACAGAGTCGCGCGCACCTGGCGCATAGGACAGCGCAGTCTTGAGCCAAGACAGCGTCGGATATAGCGTTCGCTATACAGCCTCTCCTTAAACCTCGTATAAAGTCGGGAAGGGAGGGGCCGAGCGCTAGATCTTAGTCCTAACGAATTAGGTAGGGGAAAGAAGGGTGAGGATGATGTTTTCCACCATCCCGAGCAGCACACAATAATACGGCAAAGGGCAGGCTGCGCAGAGTATTAGGGCTAGGCATGGCACATGGCCACAGCCAGCGACAGACGATTATAGGTAATCAACGGCAAGACCGCGTGACTGCCCACATGGAAGTAGGGAGAAATCCAGCCAGTGGGCCGGACGTCAAAGCGCGCAGCATGCGAGGGGATATGACCAAGCGGTCAAACCCCCACCAAAAAAACTAAGAGGGAATAGTGCCCGCGTTCGGGGACTCATAGTAGCTGTGAAGCTATGGAAACATATGCCCGTGGCCAAGCGAAGATAACTAATTGTGGGTATACATGCCCGTGCCCGGGCAAGGAAAACTACTTGTCTGTGTTTGAGTAGTCGTCATCATTGGTGTCCGCTGGCCCTGAATAGGACGCCCCTATGCTGGCGCTGTCTTCTCTTCCTCGATAGGGTACGTGCCTCTTTTCTTCGTGCTTCAAACGTTGAATTCCTTCCATCGCTCGCAGCAGCAACGAGCGGTCGATGCACCCCTCGGTCGTCCGCGGTCATATCACGTGCATCACACCATTGTACACAACGAACTATACCTCGGTCCATCATCTGTCTTATCCACCTGATATGTCCCAGCAGGGTGCACTCGATCGGCTTCTTCAAATCTTACTTGACAAGGATTCGAATACCGACTCAGCGTCTATTGCCAGGATGGCCTTCATTTTGAGACCGCCTGACTCCAACATATTATTAAGTTGAGTTGGTGTTAGGGGTCCAGCATCAAGCTCATGTAGCGTAACTGTGGTGGGATAGCAATCCTCAGGATTATGAGCGGCTGCCAGCGCTGCAGTTGAGTAGCTGGGGCGCACCTGCAAGCGATGTGATTTGCAGCGTGCATCAATCAGATGCACTACTGATTTGCCGTTAGGCGTGTGTCCACGCAGTAGAAGGTTGGCTCCTCGGATCCCATGTCCCTCTACTTCGTCATCTTGGTTCCCATCAAGCCGACGGTATCCTGAACGCCCCCTTCTCCTGTCGGAGTCATAAACTGATAGGCAATTTGCTCCGGACCTTGCTGAAACATTGCGTGTCACAGCGCTGAATCTTCGCACTTGGAGTTTTTTTGGGGTTCCTTTACACGCAATAAGAATACCACGCGCACCACTAACCATGCATGAGCGATCGGTGCGCATGCCAAGGCACCACGCTAACGGACGAACACGTCGGCGACTGTCGTTGCCTTGTCTTCTGCCACGGCGCCCGTGAGTTCTGGGTGCTGCATCGGGCGAAGCTGTTTGACGCGTTCATCCTGATCTAGCCGGGCGCGGCCGCCCTCGGTCTCAGTGCATCGCACGGCGCCACTAGTGTAACAGTGCTTGCTCCATTTTACACGCGCCGAACGTATCTTCTCCACATTTGACGCGCTTGTCAATGGGCCCCTCCGCTCCTGCCATGTCGATGTCGCCAACATGCTTGGCTGTCCTGAGGCATGGGCTTGTCAAGTTCTTCATCATATGGCGTGGGCTTCGGCCCGGAACCTCGCGCGATGGTTCTGAGCTTCAAGGAGAGCGCACTACGGGCGCCATTGGTGCCTGCGCCTCGTTTAAGGCACTGCAGACAGCGCTTTGACTCGTCATTCGTCGAGAAACCGGGCAGCGCACGCAGCGCCGAGGCTGGAACCGGTGGAAGAGTGAAGCATGCCATGCGCTCTTTCTCTCCAGCGGCCTCTGCCAGCACGCATTAAGTCAGACCCTTCAAGAAGTCTTGTCGGCGCCCCTGGATACCGCGATTCAATGTTTCTTGCGCGCGGCCGCGCTGGCGAGCAATTTCTGGCTTGCTCGCCGGGCTGTGTCTGGGGGAGTTTCTACGTCGAATGCTTCGACGCCCATGAAGCCACGAAGAAAAAGGCATAGTCGCATTGGTCGTTCCATGTCGCCTGTCGTTATTGACAAGCTTCCGCTTGTGCGCGTATCTAGAGGCCATGCAACGGTAGCTGCCTTGATATGTTGCACCCCCAAGCATTTGCTTTCATGCCATAGTTTAAATTGAGTGTACAAAGCCTTAGATATCATTGTCGGATTGGTTGGTATTTCTACCTTCGCTGGGAGGTCGTCCCCCTTGACAGTCGCAGCTCTTTTTGCAGCGGCCGAGACATGTGCGCAGCGGGGGAGGAGGCGGCGCAACGCCGCTTTCTTCTCGTCCGCGTCGCCCTGCGACACGCGGAGGGTCAGTGGAGCTGCCAGCCCCACAGCCACTGTGTGCGCCTCTTGACTTGTCGTAACTGCTGGCGCCCATTGTTGGGTCCTGGGGCGTTTCTACGTGAGGGTAAAAGTGCACGTGCCCGTACTTATCCCCAGGGTCTCTGTCGAGCAGGTGATAGCTCGGCTGGTGCAGGTACTTCATAAAAAAGGTCGCCTGGTGCCGCTGCTGGCGCAGCGGCAGCAGGTGCCGGCGCCCCTTCCGCCAGCGCTGGCGCAGCCGGTGGAACTTGTCAGCGTTTGTCTGGCACCTGCCGGGCTGAGCAAATCTACGCTTGCCTGGCGTCGGCAGGAGGCCGCGCTTGTTTTTGTCATAGCCCTTTGTGCTACTTGGGCATGCCCAGTGCTAGGGATCCTGGTCATACCAACGGCATCGACGTGGGTTTCGGTCGTGCGTCGGCGAGTTCATGTGAACGTTGTTGCGACAGCTGGGCAAACACATCCCCCCGATGGCGGTGGTTTGATGGATCCGTTCTCTTCTCGTGGCACCGCGGGGTCATCGAGATCGAATTCAACGCTGTTGACCACGCAGGTGTTTGCGTAAAAATGCCTGTCGGCAAAGGGGGCGTTGCCTCGTGCATGAAGGAAATTTGCAACCTGCACGAAATCTACGATCAGCGGTATCTTTGGAGTGCATTGGGCCGCCTGCGCCAGTTCTCGGTTGCGCGCTCGGGCGCGTTCACGATCACGGCAACATGCTTTCAAATGGCTTGAGAATTGCATGATGATTGGCCATCATTTTTGCAGGTTTCCTGATGAGGGTGCCGCGTGAATCGCGTAGCCCTGTCGAGCATTGGTCTATCATATGCTTGCAAGTGGCCCTGGGCTTGACTTGCGTCGACCAGGGAGCAATCTCGCCCGCCCAGGCGCCAACCGGCCGTTCCCCAAGGAACATGCAGTGGAGGTCGTCTTGCATGACGGCTACCTTCCCGCAGAGGGCGACGCGGGGAAGGTCCTCCCTAGTGTTTGTACCGCGTGTCGTAGTTGACTGGGAGGTGAAAGTGCGCGGGCAAACCTGCGGCTCTGCAGTTGGGTTGTAGCCTAACTATTGCGACAAAGCGCGCATGCAGATAATTACTTTCAAAGGCAAGCTTTCTCTTGAGTGCTCTCTGTGGCATGCCAGCAGCGCCTCCACGTAGTTCTAACATATATACGCAGCTGCCCCTTCCATAACAGAGAGCAAGGGCAATGGTAAATGTCGGCACGCGCGCCCGCAGAGCCACGTGGGAGGGTTGAGAATAGGCTGTCGTCATCGTCTGACTCCAGCTCTTCTACTAGAACGTCGGACAGTAGCTTGTGGCTTCTCCTGAGAATTTGAAGTCGTCGCCACAGTCGACGTTGCCATCTTCGACGTGTTTGGGTATCTTCTTCGGCATGATGCCAGCTTCCTTATCAATGTTTTGTTTTTCTTGTTGCTTTATCCGGGCATCGGTTGGCAAAGCTGTTCGCACGTTTGGTGCGTCCACCCATGCCGGAAAAATTGGAATGTCTGGTAGGCCCCCGTCGTCAAGACCAATCGAGAGGGGAGGACAACGATCATCTTCGATGAACGCAACTCGTTCCTTGCGGCTTGGCGGCGCATGCCCGTGTCCGAGCGACGCTGAGGGCGCCGCGTCCCAATGCAGTCTCGTACATATGATGCGGACTCCGTTGGTGACTGTGATTTCCACGTGTAACCGGCCGGTTGACCCTTGACTTTCATATATGTAGCCGCCTTCTTTGTGTCAAGGTCAAGTATATACCGGCCTAGAGTTTTGCTCTAGTGCGGTCTGCTGTCGCTGGGCTGTATGTAGCCATGTACGTTCGTATCGGTGCGAGTGAAGACTTGTAAATAGATGCGT